CATTGCTGTCTCCCTCATATCTAAATCTCAACAAAACTTATTGTGTTTCATCAAAAACTCAAGTGAAAACTCAAAAGTGCGACTTCGTCGTACTAGCACACCACTGCTGTTTCGTGAGCAGCACCTCCTGAAAGCAATCATTTCTGAAAATCGAAGCTTAAAACTTTATCTCACAGGGGCTGGAGCGATAGCACAGTGGGGAGGGCATTTGCCTTGCATGCAGCCGACCCAGGTTCGATTCCCAGCATCCCACAGGGTCCTCCGAGCTCTGCCAGGAGTAATTCCTGAGTGCATGAGCCAGGAGTAACCCCTGTGCAATGCCAGGTGTGACCTAAAAAAAAAAAAAAAACCCACTGTTCTCCTGTTGTCCATTGATTTGCTCGAGCGGGCACCAGTAATGTCTCACAACAACAAATCCTTTATCTCACAGCATCAAGGGAAGAAATATCACAATCTAGGGAAAATACTTGCTTTTAGTTAGCATTAATGAAAATTTACAATAATATTAACAATATAGTTCATAAGTTAGGAAGTCCTGGTTCCCTGTACTGATCGATACATTGAGTAGGAAAGCATCAGAATGTGACTAAAATGGACACAATTAAGTCTGCAACACATATCAGTGTGCAGGTGGATTTACTTTAATCTAAGTCTCACTGGGGCAGGTAAATACTAGCCAATGAGAATTCTATATCAACTTGATCACAACAATAAACGTGACGTCAGAATTTGCTAGATTTGCTCTTGTAGCTTTAAACTTACTCCTTAAGTATAAACAAATCACTAAAAATGTAACAAGGCGCTGGAGCATTGAGGAGGGTGCTTGCCTTGCCTGTGGCCGACCCGGGTTCAATCCCCGGCATCCCATAGGGTCCCCTGAATCCCACCAGGAGTAACCTCTAAATGCAGAGCCAGGCGTAACCCCTGAGCACCGCCGGGGGTTACAAAACAAAACAAAAAATTGTAACGAACATTGTTCAAGAATGCAGAGTGGGGCATGCAGTCTTTATCTGATATCTAACACTAGAACGATAGAAGTTTAAAAAAAATATAGCGAATCCTCCAGACTTAAGTGCATTGCCCATTCGAATAGTGGACATAGCACAAAAGCTTTTTACAAAGCATAGCACAAAATTCTTTGATTACTAAAACTGGGAACAAAAGCGAAGACTGAGTTAGGGTGCCAAGATGAAGCTGCGATTTCAGAACTGAATCAATGCCAGGGGCTGAAGTGAACTGTGTGTGTGTGTGTGTGTGTGTGTGTGTGTGTGTGTGTGTGTGTGTGAATAACTTGCATGTGTGACACCCTGTTTGATTTCCAGTCCCCGCCCCATAGCCCCACGCACACATGCACGCACACACGCACACACGCGCGCGGGCACACACACACACACACACACGCATACCTAAAAACAATGCAAATTTAGAACACAGTGATTTATCAAGTCTTTTAAAAAATGTAAGGGTTCTTATTACGCCATCCGACAGAAAAGAAACAGGCCGACAGGAAATTATTGTACAATGAAACAACTGCTTTTCCACCGGCCAAGTTATCTGACTTAATCTCCACCTGCACCCACTCACACACCCACAAGAATCTGCTAGACCCAACTTTTGCTCATTTCCGGAGAGAGAATGAACCAACTTTCATTCTCTAGAGAAACAAGTGGTGGTCAGGACTGTGTTCCTGGTGATTCGCTCAGCAGAAAAAGACAGATCAAGTGACAAAACGGACTGTGTTTTTTTTTTTTGGCTAAGAGTTTTGTCTCCGCACCTGACTTTCATTAAGGTCCATATTCTTAAGTGGAATTAAGGCAATTCTCTAGCAAATTATCCAGGTGATTTAACGCGTTAAACTGGACTTTTCAAATGACCCCCTAAATTAGGGTCACGAGGACAATACAGAAGTCCAGCAAGAAAAACAGGCAGGTTCTGGGCTTCTCTGACAGGTGACAATTTTTGAGTTGTGGAAAATGATTCTACAAAGGCTACGGGCACAATATTGAAGATATCGTGGAGAGATCTTAAAATTCCCCAATGATCCCCAAAAAAGCCACACTAATAAGCTTTTTTTTTTGCTTTTTGCTTTTTGGGTCACACCTGGCGATGCACAGGGGTTCCTCCTGGCTCTGCACTCAGGAATCACTCCTGGCAGTGCTCAGGGGACCATATGGGATGCTGGGAATCGAACCTGGGTCGGCCTAGTGCAAGGCAAATGCCCTCCCCACTGTGTTATCACTCCAGCCCCCAGTGAGCTCTTTAGAGTAACAATGATAAACATTTACAATTAAATTGAACAAGAAAAGTCCCAGGAGAGATACAGTACTACAGCTATAATCTTGCCTTGCATGGGCCGATCTGGGGATTTGGGTTCGATCCTGATCTGGGTTCGATCCCCCGCATCCCCCCCGCATCCCACAGGGTCCCCTGAGCTCTGCCAGGAGGAATTAACGCAGAGCCAAGGAGGAAGCCCTGAGCATCGCCGGGTGTGGCCCCCACACCCCATCCCTGCGGGTGGGGGCAAGTCTTGGGATTCCCCTGGGGGCAAGACCGGCAGCCAAGCGGACCCTTGGAATAAAACTGACCCTGCTTGGAAGCGACCCACAGGCCAGCCGATAATAACGTTGTTGAAGCCAGACTGAGTCACCAGGGAGACGAAGCCATCCCTTCAGTTACGAGGTCGGCATTGTCTGGCTCTGAAAGGGATTTTCAATGAGGAGAGCAGAGAAGGAACCGGGAGGGGAGAGAGACTCACGTGCCTGACCGCAGCTCGGTCGCCCCATGGACCGGGTTTGTGCATGCTACGGCAGTGAGGTTGCCCTGTAGACTGGGTCTGTGCATGCCAGCTAATGCAAGGGGTAGGAGATGTCTCAATGGTCAGGACAACCCTGGCCAGGACACAGTTCATCAGAACACCCACAGGGGACGCTCACGGGGCCTTAAAGTAGGACTTCAGGCCAACACAGGTTATTTTTTGTCTTTTGCTTTTGGGGTCATATCCAGCAATGCTCAGGGCTGACTCCTGGCTCTGCACTCAGGGATCACTCCTGGCGGTGCTCGGGGGACCCTATGAGATGCTGGGACTCGAACCCAGGTCAGCCGTGTGCAAGGAAAACGCCCTTCCTGCTGTGCTATCGCTCCAGCCCCGTTGTTTTTCTTTTTGGGAGGGGTTTTGGGCCACACCTGGCGGTGCTTAGGTATTACTACTCCTGGCTCTGTGCTCAGGGAGCACTCCTGGTGGGTTCTGGGGGCGCTCTGGGGTGCTGCGTGCAATAGCTGACACCTTAGCCCCTGACCTGTGGCTCCGGCCCCATGAAAGAAACTCTTGTGGGAAGGAAAGAATAAAAAGCACTGAGGAATACAAACTCTCCACCTGCCCGTGAACCAGTTAAACCAGCGTGACTAAGGCCGCACCGCCGAGACACAGAACCTTCTCCGGGGTCACCTGCGGCATCAAGAAATCATGTCACAGGACTGGATCGATAACACAGCAGGGAGGGCATTGGCCTGGCACCCGGCCGACGCGGGTTCGATCCCTGGCATCCCCTAGGGTCCCCCGAGCACCGCCAGGAGTGATTCCTGAGTGCAGAGCCAGGAGTCAGCCCTGAGCATCGCTGGGTGTGGCCCAAAAAGCAAAAAAATAAATAAATAAAAATAAAAAAAGGAAAGAAAAGAAATCACGGGTCACTGCACCGAGGCCAGTCTGGCTAAAGAGAGACCGGAAGTGGGTGCCAGGAGATCAGAAACGGGGACAAGAGGCTTCTCAATGGGCCTTTCACGGCCTAGAGCTTGGCCCCACTGTACCCCAGTCCCACCGAGCCTGTCCCACAAGACACAAACCAGGGGAGCCCGATTGATGGACGTCACGGGTGGAGTTTTCTGACTGGAATCTACACCCCTAAACGTGTGGGGGGGGAAGGGGAGTCACATGACCCCCGGGCATCACTAGATGTAGCTGTGGGGTGATCCCTGGCACTGTGGGGTCCAGGTAGCGCATAGCCTTGGCCCAAACTGCTCCCGGGAGTGGCTCCAGGGTCCCCTGAGCACCTCTTAGGGGGATCCCCCAGCCCCCCAATAAAAGAATACTCAAAAGGCTCTTGGAGACGCCTTCCTCCTGTTCTGATCTGATTCTCCGGCTCCGTTTTCCCACCATCGTGCCAACGTGCCGATGACTGGGCATCACTGGCCCCCAATGGAGCACTGGCTCCATCCGGGCTGGTGGTAACCTGAGTATCTTCACCACCAAACGGGAAAGGCAATGGACAGTGAAACGTTTGCGGGGCTGGAGTGAGAGCACCAGCGGGGAGGGCGTTGGCCTGGCACGCGGCCGACCCGGGTTCGATCCCTGGCATCCCATAGGGTCCCCCGAGCACTGCCAGGAGTGATTCCTGAGTGCAGAACCAGGAGACAGCCTTGAACATCGCTGGCTGCAGACCCATAAGAAAGAAAGAAAGAAAGAAAGAAAGAAAGAAAGAAAGAAAGAGAGAGAGAGAGAGAGAGAGAGAGAAAGAAAGAAAGAAAGAAAGAAAGAAAGAAAGAAAGAAAAAGGCTAGTAAGGGGCTGGAGCGACAGCACAGCGGGGAGGGCGTTTGCCTGGCACGCGGCAGACCCGGGTTCGATCCCCGGCATCCCATAGGGTCTTCCGAGCACCGCCAGGAGTGATTCCTGAGTGCAGAGCCAGGAGTCAGCCCTGAGCATCGCCAGGTGGGACCCAAAAAGCCCCCAAAAAAACCCAACAACAACAACGGTAGTCTCAGGATGGAACGTTCCGGGGCCGTTTTTTAAGAGACAGAACAGGCGAGTTCATGAGCACAGAAGGTAGGTTCCTGCCTGGGGCTGGGGTTGGGGGGGTTCAGGGCGTGAGGACTTGTGCCACAAGGTTCCCTGCACCCATGGCTGCGAAGGCAGCGCTGACCACGCCAGGCTGCCTGCACAACCACACACACAACACAGAGTCTGGCCTTGGTTTCGAAGAAAAGGCTCTCTGGGCGCCGGCTTACCTGACAGTGGATATCCGCTCTGTGCTGTAACAGGATGGTGACCAGCTCCTTGTGGCCCCGGTCACAGGCCCAGTGGAGCAGGGTTCGGCCCTGGAATCCAGAAAGGAGACACGGCGTCAGTAGGTCGGAGAGTGAACAGGCACTTTCCAAGGAACGCAGGGCCTTGGAAAGTGCCAAGGTCACACCCAGCGATGCTCAGGGGTTCCTCCTGGCTCTGCGCTCAGGAATCACTCCTGGCGGTGCTCGGGGGACCCTATGGGATGCTGAGGATCGAACCCGGGTCGGCAGCGTGTAAGGCAAACACCGTCCCCGCTGTGCTATGGCTCCGGCCCCTTGGGAAATCTTCTCAAAGTCTGCTCAGGGTCTGGGCAGCCCAGGCCTCAGAGACAGGAGGCTGGGGGTTCAAGCCCCAGCACCCCTCAAAAAAAATAATAAAGCAAGTGCAAAGCAGAGCTTGCTTCAAGTGGGAGGTGTCCTGCCTCTGGTTATAGCAGTTATAAACACACACACACACACACACACACACACACACACACACACACACACACGATTAAATCCCAGCGGAGAACCCATCTGAATGTCTTACACCCTGGTTCACTCAACCCTAAGGAAGACAGGACATTTCACAGTTTGAAAAGAAACATTTCCCAAGGCTGGAGCGACAGCACAGCGGGAGGGCTTTTGCCTTGCATGCGGCAGACCTGGGTTCGATTCCCGGAATCCCATAGGGTCCCCGAGCACTGCCAGGAGTGATTTCTGAGTGCAGAGCCAGGAGTCAGCTCTGAGCATCGCCGGGTGGGACCCAAAAAGAAAAATAAGTAAATAAATATTAAAAAAGGAAAAGAAACATTTTTCCCCTTAATATTCAAACTTTCATTGTGAAATTTCTCAAAACAGATTAGTACCAGGAGTTTTGCTCCATGGCGTGGAGGCCAGCCACACATGCTAGGGGAAAAGGGAGCTCAGATAGAGAAGGGAGCACCAAATAAAGGGTGCTGGGAGGATCCTCCCAGGATGGGAGAAGCATGCTGAAAGTAGACTCGAGACCGAACATGATGGCCACTCAATGCCTCTTTTGCAAACCACAGCACCCAAAAGAAGAGAGAAAGAACAAGGGGGAATGCTCTGCCACAGAGGCGGGGTGGGATGGGGGGATGGGAGGGTGGGAGGGATACTGGGACCCGTGGTGGTGGAAAATGGGCACTGGTGGAGGGATGGGTGTTTGATCATTGTACAAGTGAAACCCAAGCACAAAAATCTGTAAGTCGACAACTGTACCTCATGGTGTTTCACTAATAAAAATTAAATAAATAATAATAATAAAAAAAGAACTTTCCTGGAAAAAAAAAAAGAAATTTCCCAAGACATGGGGACACTTCAGTGGTGCCACAGTGCAGCCTGTGACAGTCCATGTGATCAGCCCCGCCGCAGAAGTACCAAGCACTGAGCACCGAGCACTGAGCATCAAGTACCCTGTCCCTGGGCTAGACCAAGGACTCGCACAGACCAGGAACGGGCTAATTCTCGTCTCCGTGGTCAGAAACTGGGTCTGACTGGGGCCAAGTATAAACCACCCGGGCTAAGGGCTTTCCTCAAGGAATGAACCAGGGCTTAAGGTGACCCCCCGGGGACAGCTGTGATGTCACTTGGAAAGGAACGGAATGTTTTCCCACAGTGAGTGCAAATCCCTGCCCAGGTCTATTTAGAAAAGACTTAAGCGCCCGAGGCCGGGATCAGGATGGCTTTCCTGGCGAGGGTGCTTTTCTAGAAGCTTCTAAACCTGCCTCCCTCCAGGGCCTGTTCAGACCTCCCACATACCTATGAATTTGATTAGTTAAAACAGGATTAAGTCTCGAAACCATCCGAATAAAAATTAGGATCATCTTTCTACACAGGGCTTCCTTTAATTTGCTCTGGTGATTTTTTTTTTGCTTTTTAGGTCACACCTGGCAATGCACAGGGGTTCCTCCTGGCTCTTCACTCAGGAGTTACTCCTGGCGGTGCTCGGGGGACCCTATGGGATGCTGGGAATTGAACCCGGGTCGGCCGCATGCAAGGCAAACGCCCTCCCCGCTGTGCTGTGCCTCCGGCCCCTGCTCTAGTGACTTTTATTAACCAGGACTGAGCGTGGCTTATCACAAAAGGCAGAGAGGGAGACAGAGAGAGGAGGCTGGAACCGTAGCACAGCGGGGAGGGCGCTTGCCTTGCACGCGGCTGACCCGGGTTTGATCCCCGGCATCCCAGATGGTCCCCCAGCACCTCCGGGAGTGATTCCTAAATGTAGAGCCGGTGGTCAGCCCCGAGCACTGCCAGCTGTGGCCCCCAAACCAAAACAAGCAAACCAACAAAATAATAAATATGACTTCTGGTGCTCCAACCAGCTGGCTGTCACCAGGTGGAACCCCAGAGCCTTGGGCGCCAATATCAAGCTGAACGTCTTCCAAGTTCAACAGAATGACAGCGGCTTTTGCCAAAGGATGGATAAAGGGCTAGTCCTGAGCTTCCGGTTGCCTGTCTGGCTCTGGGGTGACTCCTCGCTCTGCTTGGAGCTTGGGTTTGCTCTTGGCAGACAGAGCTCAGGGAATGTGGGGTGCTGGGTAAGGGTCCCACGCTCCAGTCCACCCCCTCCCCCCGAAGCCTTTCCTCAGCGCAAGGCTGCCAACGTTTTACCATTTTCACGCTGAAACGAACACGTTTGGCTACTAAGTTCAGCTTTCTTGCTTTTTGGGTCCCACCCGGCGATGCTCAGGGCCGACTCCTGGTTCCGCACTCAGGAATCACTCCTGGCGGTGTTCAGGGGACCCTAGGGGATGCTGGGGATCGAACCCGGGTCGGCTGCGTGCCAGGCAAACACCCTCCCCACTGTGCTATGGCTCCAGCCCCTCATCTCAATTCTTTTTAAGGAATTTTGTTTTGTTTTCTGTTTGGGGGCCACATCTGGCGATGCTCTGGGCTGACTCCCAGCTCTGCACTCAGGAATCACTCCTGGCGGTGCTCGGGGGACCCTATGGGATGCCGGGGATCGAACCCGGGTCGGCCTTGTGCAAGGCAGTCACCCTCCCTGCTATCCTATTGCTCCAGCCCCAAGATTTCATCGTTTTCTTTTCTTTTCGGATCCCACCCGGCGATGCTCAGGGCTGACTCCTTGCTCTGCACTCAGGGACCACTCCTGGTGGTGCTCAGGGGACCCTATGGGATGCCGGGGATCGAACCCGGGTTGGCCGCGTGTGAGACCAACACCCTTCCCGCTGTGCTATGGCTCCGGTCCCCTAAGTTTAACTCTTAACAAGAATGACCACGGAGGTAAAAGGCCCTTATCAGTTCCCCTTACTTTGTTACGCAGGAAGACGTTATCCCTGCTAACCAGGAGTCATACCATTAATTTCTACTTGTCATCCGGGTCCTTAACTTCTCCAGGAGGGTCACATCTTACTAATGCTAAAATATAAATCCTGAGCTTTTATTGGGGGGAAAGGCCGGCAACACGTCTTCCTGCTAATGGGAATTATATTTTAAAGTTCCCAAATGTGGTGCCAAAAATTTACTTTAGGGGGAAGGCCGAGGACCGGACCTTGGTGGCAATTTCCTCTTTGGACATATTTTCCAGAAGGTGGGAACACAGCTGTGTTTTAAGGTGGGTGACACCTCTCAGATACATTTAGGTGATGCTTTTTAACACATATTTTGACCCGCAATGTCATTAATTTTGGTAACCCATTATTTTAATGGTACACTAATTAACCTTGGATTAGAGTGGATTATCTGACAATGACTTCTCTGCCTAAGTGCTGAAGAGATCCACCTTTCGACCACTCTACTGATTCATTTTTCTTTTCGTGTCGTATTAAGAAGGCCAAAAACAGGAGTGAGGGTTAGCATCCTTGTTAAATAACCATAGGGGGAAAAAAAAATCAATCGGGCTTTGGAATTTTGTCCGCTGAGATGGTCTATATTCAAATGTACAGAGAAAGGCAGGAGCAGAGGGCAGGGGGTCTGAAAATCTTTTCTTCACCAAATCACACAGTTCCTGTAAAATGTTCACTCCATCTTACTAGTCAAGCAATAACATAACCGGCAGTTTGCAGTGATGTCCCTTTTTCTTTAATCTTTTGTTGTTGTTGTTGCTGTTTTTTTTTGAGGGGGGGAGGACGACACACCCGGCGGTGCTCAGGGCTGACTCCTGGCTCTGCACTCAGGAATCACTCCTGGTGGAGCTCAGGGAACCTTACGGGATGCTGGGAATCGAACCCGGGTCGGCTGCGTGCCAGGCAAAAGCCCTCCCCTCTGTGCTGTCACTCCAGTCCATCAATGCTGAGTTTTAATCTGAAGCTATCACTGTCACTGTCCTCCCGTTGTTCACTGATTTGCTCGAGCAGGCCCGTTAACGTCTCCATTGACACTTGTTACTGTGTCTGGCATATCGAATACGTCACGGGTAGCTTGCCAGGCTTTGCCATGCGGGTGAGATACTCTCGGTAGCTTGCTGGGCTCTCCGCAAGGGGCAGAGGAATCGAACTCGGGTCGGCCAGGTTGGCTGCATGCAAGGCAAACGCCCTACCCGCTGTGCTATCGCTCCAGCCCATCAATGCTGAATTTTAATGTGAAGCTACTTCATGGTTTCCTCGGGGAGGAAAGACTACAGGATTTTGCGTCTGAAATAATTCAGTAGGGCTGGAGCCACAAGACAGTGGGGAGGGCGCTTGCTTTGCATGCGGTCAACCCAGGGTCAGTCCCCGGCATTCCATAAGGTCCCCCGAGCCCCGCCAGGAGTGATCCCTGAGTGCAGAGCCGGGAGTCAGCCCTGAGCATCACCAGGTGTGACTCCAAACCCAAACCCAAACCAAGTCGTTGCTAACTGGGATCACAAAAGAGGCTTCTTCGATAGTTCTTAGAACCCACTGGGGTTGGGGTAGAAATATTTCCCCGAAGTATTTAGATGACAGAAGTGGAGGCGCGTGGAACAGCATTATTAAAAGGAGTCTCTTAGGTCACTGAGAATCCTCCGAGACTGCAGGTCGAGCTTCAGATAAATTCTGGAGCGTGAATGCAGTGAAAAATGGGGGTGAGGGGGGACAGGATAATCCATAGCCAAGGGTACCAGGCAGTGCCCTCGCTCCCCGGATGAAGGCTCTAAAGTGCTTTAAGAGTGCAGCTGCCAGCCTAGTAAGTGGTATTACTTCCACACCTTTGGGAAAGTAGTTTTAATAGTTGACACACTGCTTTGAAATCCTTAGTTATCCGTCCTGAAAGCATGTTTAAAAAAAAATTTAAAAAAATAAAAGTTTCAGGGGCTGGAGCGATAGCACAGCGGGTAGGGCGTTTGCCTTGCACGGGCCAACCCGGGTTTGATTCCCAGCATCCCATATGGTCCCCTGAGCACCGCCGGGAGTAATTCCTGAGTGCAGAACCAGGAGTAACTCCTGTGCATGGCCGGGTGTGACCAAAAAAGCAAAAAATAAATAAATAAATAAAAGTTGCTCCTGGAATCACAAAATTAAATAGAAAGAACACTGAAGTTGAGAACCAGTCTTGGTGCCCTTGTGGTATTTTGAAAATGTTTTTCTGTTTTTTTTCTTCAATTGATTTGGGTCACACCTGGCGACGCTCAGGGCTGACTCCTGGTTCTGCACTAAAGAATTACTCCTGGCAGTGCTCGGGGGGACCCTAGAGGATGCTGGGGATTAAAACCGGGTCGGCTGCACGCAAGACAAATGCCCTCCCTACTGTGCTATCACTCCAGCCCCTAGGCAAAGATTTTTTATATTTTTTAATTTTTTTTTGGCCATATCCAGTGATGCTCAGGGCTGGATCCCGGCTCTGCACTCAGCAATCACTCGTGGTGGTGCTTGGGGGACCCTAGGGGATGCGGGGGATTAAACCCGGGTCGGCCGCGTGCCAGGCCAACGCCTCCCCGCTGTGCTATTGCCCAGGTCCCTGGTTCATCACTCTTGATTGATTGATTGATTGATTGATTGACTGATTGCTTTTTGGGTCCCACCTGGCGATGCTCAGTGCTGACTCCTGGTTCTGCACTCAGGAATCACTCCTGGCAGTGCTCGGGGGACCCTATGGGATGCCAGGGATCAAACCCGGGTCGGCCCCATACAAGGCAAACGCCCTCCCTGCTTTGCTCGGCCCCTGCAACTGTACTTTTAAGGAAGAGAAGATATACAGGAGAAACTGCTCAGCCCAAATGACAAAATACAAGTGTTTGATTCCAGACTTGATGCATGTTTTTGTGCATTACCGTTACAGCAGCAAAGACAGGATTCAGCAAAAGCACCTGTGTTTACTTTGGTGTGGAGGAAATTTAACTGCATTCTCACTATCATGTTTCATGCGCTCCTGGCAGATTTTGTGTGAAATAAAATGGACTTTTCAGTTAACTAAGAGCTAGACTGATGTTGGTCTAATTGACAGACGAGCATTTTGGGCTTTTTTTTTTTTTTTGGCTTTTTTGAGTCCCACCTGGGGATGCTCAGAGCTGACTCCTGGCTCTGCACTCAGGAATCACTCCTGGCGGTGTTCAAGGGGACCCTATGGGATGTCGGGGATTGAACCTGGGTCGGCCACGTGCAAGTCCAACGCCCTCCCCGCTGTGCTATTGCTCCAGCTCCACATTTTGTTTTAAAATCGAGTTATTCATGAGCCAAACCCTGCAGTGCTCAGTACTCCTGGGTCTGTGCTCAGGGATCACTCCTGGAGGTGCTCGGGGGACCACGCGTGGCGCTGGGGATTACCCTGGAGCTGGTCACATGTGAGGCAGGCTCCCTACCACTGTGTGTCTCGCTCGCCCCTAAATGTTTTTTCGAACCGGACTTGGCATGGCAGAACGTGCACTGGGATCCCAGGAATCATGGCGATCACAGAGGAGGAGGAGGGAACTGCATCATTCGGAGTAACAGCGCATACATCTCCGCGCTGCTCCCTTTCCCAATGCTCCTGGGCATCGCATGGAGGGCTCCTACCTGCCAGGCTGTCCCCGCCACTGTTTTCCTCCTCCTCAATCTCCCATGTCCCTCTCACAGGTTCTTTTTAAAAAATAATAAAATTGATGAACCAGACAGTAACACAGTTGCCACTGCATAGAGCTGCCTGAGCACCATTAGAAGTGAGCCCTGAGCACAGAGCCAGGAGTCAACCTTGAGCACTGAGCCAGGAGTGAGCCCTGAGCATAGAGCTGGGAGTCAGCCCTGAGGACAGAACTGGGAATGAGGTCTGAGCACAGAACCAGGAGTCATCCCTGAGCACAGAGCTGGGAGTGAGCCCCAAGCACTGAGCTGGGAGTCAGCCCTGAGCACAGAGCCAGGAGACAGCCCTGAGCACAGAGCCAGGAGTCAGCCCTGAGCACAGAGCCGGGAGTCAGCACTGAGCACAGAGTTAGGAGTCAGCCCTGAGCACAGAGCTAGGAGTCAGCCCTGAGCACAGAGCTAGGAGTCAGCCCTGAGCACGGCCAGGAGTACTGTGGCTTCTTCCCCAATGCATAAATGTGAACTGATGCCTTACAATGAAGAGGTAAAATTAATCAAGGGGATTCCTGATTTATTTTCAAGTAAAATAAATCCCTGGAAGTCTCAGGGCTTCTAGCAGGGGGCAGAGCAGAGACACCCCCCCCCCAATGCCTGAAGCTGGCTGACACACAGGGTTGAGCCCCCATCCTATCCCCCCGACCCCAGAGGTGGAGGAGACAGCCCAGAAAGTGTGACAGTTCCCTTTGTCACATCCAACCTTCCACCAAATTCCCAGATGCATCAAAAGGAAAAAAAAAAAAATTCCAATTTGAATTTGAACAATCTTCTAGATCTATGAATATGCAAAGGGCCCTAATGGGACCCGCTGGCGGCGGGAGGAACAGATGGACAGAGGAAGTGGGACCCCAGGAACAGGGAACTGCAAACCAGGGCGGGAGGCAGAGACGCATGCAGACTCCCACACAGGTTCATGGATACAGGCCCCTGGCTTGATTCCGGCACTGCACGGTCCCCAAGAGACACCGGGGGCCAGTCCTGGGCAGAGCCCCTCAACACTGCCAGTCGCGTGGTCCCCGATTCCCCCCACCCCAAAAAAGGTATCAGTATACCTGAAGATAAAGTTCCTCATTCTTATTAACATATATATTTTTTGATTTCTGATCCACATCTGGTGATGCTCAGGGCTGACCTTTTGTTTTCTTTTTTTGTTTGTTCTTTGTTTTTTTTTTTCTCTTTTTGGGTCCCACCCGACGGTGCTCAGTGGTTCCTCCTGGCTCTGCACTCAAGAATCACTCCTGGAGGGGCGCAGGGGACCCTATGGGATGCCGGGGATCGAACCCGGGTAGACCACATGCAAGGCCAACGCCCTCCCCACTGTGTTATCACTCCGGACCCTGACTCTGTGCTCAGGGCTGACTCCTGCTCTGTGTTCAGGGCTGACTCCCGGCTCTGTGCTCAGGGCTGACTCCCAGGTCTGTGCTCAGGGCTGACTCCCGGGTCTGTGCTCAGGAATCACTCCTGGGTCTGTGTTCAGGGCTGACTCCTGACCCCATGCTCAGGGCTGACTTTCGGGTCTGTGCTCAGGCTGACTCCCAGGCCTGTGCTCAGGGCTGACTCCCAGATGTACTTAGGGATGACTCCCAGCTCTGTGCTCAGGGCTGACTCCCGGCTCTGTGCTCAGGGCTCACTCCTGGTTCTGTGCTCAGGGCTGACTCCTGACTTGTGCTCGGGGCTGACTCCCGACTCTGTGCTCAGGGCTCCTTCCATGGTCAGTGCCTGGCCCTCTGGATGGGCTCAGAGGCGGGGCCACGCAGGCTCCGTGTGGTCCCCGGGAGCCCAGGAAGGGGACCAGGGCAGCTCCCACCAACCTCCCCGCACCCTGGATGAGGCGTCTGAGTAGCTGTCACCAGTCCCATGGGAGCAAATGCCGCCCCTTCGGGGGGTGGGCAGGGCCGGGGACAGGGTCAACTGCCAGCCCACGGGACTCCGAGCTCAGCCTCTGGCAGGACACGCAGGAGTGACTTGGCACCGCCTGGCACCGACCAGCAGTGCGGGCAGCTGCGCCCCCTAGTGGCAGGACGGAGGGGCAGGGGTGCTACCTACCTCTTCGTCCTTCACATTCACGTCCACGCTCTTGGACTTGATGGCCTTGCTCACGCGATCAATGTTGTTTTCCCTGCAGTAATCGAATATATTCTTGTCTTCTTCCCTAATTAGAGTCAAGAGGGGGAAAAAAAAAGAGAAAGAGTGAAAAAGTCTTTGTCCATCAGGGCAATAATGCAGGATTTCGGGTTTTCTTTTTTTTTTTTTTCTGCTTTTTGGGTCACAGCCGGTGATGCACAGGGGTTACTCCTGGCTCTTCACTCAGGAATTACTCCTGGCAGTGCTCGGGGGACCATATGGGATGCTGGGAATCAAACCTGGCCGCGTTTTCGATGGGAACGGTGTTAGCGGGGTTTTCTTGTGAACGTTAAGAGGAAGACACAGGTGGCCTCAGGGATGGTCATGGACCCAGGGGACAGTCCTGCCCGCTGCCTCACGAGGCCCCAGCACCCTAACTTCTCTCTGGGCTGTTGCCCCCACAGGCTTCTGTCTGCAAATGCAGGACAGATGAGCACTTGGTTTAGGAGTAACAAAGTGAACTTAAAAAAAAAAGGTAGGGGCTGGAGCAATAGCACAGTGGGGAGAGCATTTGCTTTGCATGTAGCCGACTCGGGTTTGATCCCCGGCATCCCATAGGATCCCCTGCGCACTGCCAGGAGTGACTCCTGAGTGCAGAGACAGGAGTGAACCCTGAGCATCACCGGGTGGGACCCCAAAACCCAAAAAGGTTCTTACGGTAACTTGTTAGACTCTATGAATAAACTTACTTTTTTTTTTTCTTTTTGGGTCACTCCTGGCGATTCTCAGGGCTAACTCTTGGCTCTGCACTCAGGAATCACTCCCGGCGGTGCTCGGGGGACCTTATGGGATGCTGGGAATCGAACCCGGGTCGGCTGCATGCAAGGCAAACGCCTTACCCGCTGTGCTATTGCTCCAGCCCCAAACCTACTTTTTTTTAAGACATTGGTAGTCTCCTTTTATTTCTTTTATTGGGGGGGGGAGCGGATTGGTCACACTTGGCAGTGCCCAGGGCTTACTCCAGATGGGGGACTGTATGGGGTGTTGGGAATTGAACCCGGGTTGGCTGTGTGCACGGCAAGTGCCCTGTGAGCTGGCCCTTCTCTCTGGTCCTTCAAGCCTTTCCTTCATGTGATATTTTATATAAAAACATTTCAGTGGTGTTCTGAAGATGTGACTGATTCAAAAAAAATTTCCTGTTAGATTGCTATCAACTCGCTACACGATATACTCATCGTCTTTTGTGAATTATCACTATTTTGAATAGGTACATTCCTAATTTTTTGTGACAAAACAAGAAGCCTTTAAAAGGGTCCCAGACTGGGCTGGGGAGAGAGCACAGCAGGGAGGACGTTTGCCTTGCACGCGGCCGACCCGGGTTCGATCCCCAGCATCCCATAGGGTCCCCCGAGCACCGCCAGGAGTGATTCCTGAGTGCAGAGCCAGGAGGAAGCCCTGTGCATCGCCGTGATGTATAGCTGATTCATTGCACAAGTCACTGTGATCACGTCTCAATAACACGCTTCTGAACCCACGGATTTGTGTCAGGGAGCCGTGTACGAGCCGCGGCACATGGTCAGGGCCTGGGGACAGGAGTCCACACGCCCAGTCCAGAGGGTGGCTTCTGGCCCGGGTCAGCCCGCCCCGTCGAGGGCAGCCAAGACCCGGCCCACCCGCTCACGACACTTTCCCCCCGAAATAGTGACAATTCTCCCACGGCCTTAGCAAGAGGACCAGAGTCTCAAATAAAATAAAATGCTGTTTATTATCTTACTTATGTAAGTCGGTAGGGATGCCTGGAAATAAAACCACTTCATCTTAACCGATTTTTCTCCCATTTTTTCTGCCCCCCATCCAAGTGGAGGGGAAAGATCGAGAAAGATCAATGGCCCAGAGAGTGCGTGCAGATAACTCATTAGGCCAGACTGATTATTTAGCCGTGATTTATACAAATGCTGGGGACTGAAAAACACTTTTTTTTTTTTTGCTTTTTGGGTCACACTCGGCGATGCTCAGGGCTGACTCCCGGCTCTGTGCTCAGGAATCACTCCTGGCAGTGCTCGGGGGATCCTATGGGATGCCGGGGATCGAACCCAGGTAAGCCGCATGCAAGGCAAATGCCCTCCCCGCTGTGCTATTGCTCCAGCCCCTGAAAACGCTTTCTTGACTCTCTAAAAGTTGCTTAGAAATTTCCAGGCCCACACACAAAAAAAATTACATTAAGCTCAACTCGGGGGACGGGGGGGCGGGGCTCCTGGCTTACAGGTGGGCACATCCCAAGATCCTTCGGACCCCGCTGCCCTGCATGGCGAGTCACAGTCGCCAGCCTTAATGCCAAGGGAACAACCATTAGCGTTATTGGCGTTGTTCTGATAAACACAGAGATGACAGGGCCTGGTTCTGAGCGGGGAAGCCCGTTGGCGATGACCTTGCTTGGGAAATTCCTATCTCATTCCGTTACTGACACGCCAAGGTTGAAAATGAAGATTCCCTGAACATCTCAGGAAAGGTTCAATGCAATCAAGAAAAAGGGCTTCCCACACGTCCATCTGACCTGGGTTCGATCCCCGGCATCCCCTAGGGTCCCCCGAGCACCGCCAGGAGTGATTCCTGAGCGCAGAGCCGGGAGTCAGCCCTGAGCATCGCTGGGTGGGACCCAAAAAGCCAAAAAAAAAAATTGGGGGGGTGCTGATGGACCCTGGGACTGAGAAAATCCAAGTTCCTGCATCCGAGTTCCTGCAGTGAAATCAGGGAGAGGGAGAGGGAAGGAGGAGGGGAAGAGGGAGGGGGAGAGGGAGGGGGCACCCGTGGTCCTGGGATTCCAAGCAGGGTTAGCCGTGAGCAAGTCTAACGCCTTACTTCTACCTCTTGGGCCCCCCGCAAAGCAAGCATTTAACGGAAGCCGCCGATTACAGTAATGTTTGTCCTGCATCTACCATCTTTTATTATAACAGACAGCCGGGCCATAACCACATGCCTTTGTATGGTTCAAAGCACACACACACACACACACACACACACACACACACACACACACACACGTTTATAAACATAGCTCCACTCCAGAGCACTTCATAAGAACCAGGCCAGCGAGAGGTACGTGATGAGCAAAAAAGGAGCGAAAGCACGGTGGGGAGGGCGTTGGCCTTGCACGGGGCTGATTCCCAGCCGGGTTCGATCCCCGGCATCCCACAGGGTCCCCCGGAGCACCGCCAGGAGTGATTCCTGAGTGCAGAGCCAGGAGTCGGCCCTGAGTATCACCGGGTGGGACCCAAAAATAAAAAAACAAAAAAAACCCAAAAAACAAAAAAACAAAAACAAAACAAACAACAACAACAACAACAAAGGTACTAGGAAGAGAGAACAAGAGGCCGGGGAGGTGCGACCCCCAAGGTTCCATGCCCTTTAGGGACGGCTGTGGTGCCAACAGGTGGATAATGCCCCTGGGTGGCCGAGCACTGTGAGTGATATGAACACTGGGCCAAAGCAAACACTTCAGGAAAGGGGCCTGAGGGGGGCCTGGGGTCTCTCCTCCTATCCGGGGGCTCCCGGGGGACCCATTTCCACATCATCTATAATTATCTCTTTGCTTTAATCACCCTGTCACTCTCGAAGCTCTCCTGGGCGCTGGGCGCAGGGAAAAGCTCATTAACTAAACCTTTCCCTCTCTCCAACCATCGAGGGCTTTTAATTGCTAGCTGCCTTATTACAGGCCGGGATCATTTTCATGAGAAAGGCAGGCAGAGAGGAAGCCGGGAGCCCGGGGGTCCCCTAGGCCTGCGCCCACAGACAAACCTTTGCCTCCTCAATTACTTCGCCCAGCTGAGGTTTCTGGGGGCTGAATGAATCCATAACTCAAGTTCATCCGGAGGGGGTGGGGATTCTCCTGGGGGAGCCCCCCCCCCAGCCCCCTGCGCGCTCCAAGAATAAACTGAATGTAACGGGGACATATGTCATCCAATTTATCACCTCTCGCCAAAGTGTTAACACGGCCAACAAGACGGGGCAGGAGAGGGCGCGGGGTGGCATGCGCCAGATGGGGGGTGGGGGCTGGGTTGGTGGTCTGGCCTGGCCGTTCCCAGACCCCAAACATTCCCTCTGCAAAGTTAACAGACACGTGTGGCTGGCTCTTCACGCATCTGGCCGGGGAGAGCTTGGCTACAAACAGGCTGCTCGCTTAACAGCATGGAGCTATGTCTGAATAATGAGATTTTTATTTATTTATTTATTTATTTTTTGCTTTTTGGGTCACACCCGGCGATGCATAGGGGTTCCTCCTGGCCCTGCACTCAGGAATGACCCCTGGCAGTGCTCGGGGTACCATATGGGATGCTGGGAATTGAACCCGGGTCGGCCGCGTGCAAGGCAAACGCCCTCCCCGCTGTGCTATTGCTTTATTTATTTTTTTTAACCATTGGACTCTACCAATTGTGCCAAGAATAGGTCTGTGGAAGCTTCTCCAAGCTTCAGGAAAGACTCACGGTGCACAGAATGAGACTGAGCATGTATGTGGGCGACCATGGGCAGATTATTTTTTTGCTTTTTGGGTTCCACCTGGTGGTGCTCAGAGGTTGCTTCTGGCTTTGCACTCAGGAATCACTCCTGGCGGTGCTTGGGGGACCCTATGGAATGCCGGGGATCGAACCCGGGTTGGTCGCGTGCCAGGCAAACGCCCTCCCCGCTGTGCTATCACTCCAGTCCTGGAACTTTTGATTTGTGGTTTTTGGATTTTTATTTTTTTGCTTTTGGGGTCCCACCCGGCGATGCTCAGGGCTGACTCCCAGCTCTGCACTCAGGGATCACACCTGGTGGTGTTGGGGGACCCTATGGGATGCTGGGAATCGAACCCGGGTCGGCCGCATGCAAGACCAACGCCCTCCCCGCTGTGCTGGGGCTCTGGCCCCTCTAGTTCCTACTTTCTAAAATAATTAAAGCCTAAAAGAACCCCCTTCCTCCCAGTTTTGTTCTAAGATGTATTCCTTCTGATAGCCCCCGTTTCCGGCGCCCCAGGAAAGCTCTGTTTTTTTTTTTGCTTTTTGAATCACACCCGGCGATGCTCAGGGGTTACTCCTGGCTCTGCACTCAGAAATCACTCCTGGCTATGCTTGGGGGACCCTATGGGATGCTGGGGATCAAACCTGGGTTGGCGGCGTGCGAGGCAAACGCCCTGCCCGCTGTGCTATCGCTCCAGCCCCGGGAAAGCTCTTTCTAAGATCGCGTCAAGGTCCATGACTGTTCCAGAACTGGGACGTTCTGAGCCTCGAGGTCGGCAGGAAGCGCGTCCTTAAGCCCCCCGGGCTCCCGCCTGACCACAGTGCTGTCCGCTGGTATTTTCTGCCCAAACAGTTCATTTGTCTCCGGGAACAACTAATCAATTCCAAAGCCCATCAATCACCGGGCGAGCTCGGAGGTCCAGATGGCGGCCCGTGTAAGTGGGATTAATAAAACTGGAGAGATCGCGGGGCAGACGCCACACACGTGACGGGGCCGCTGGGGGCCCTGGCAGCCCTGGCGCTCGCCTCGACACCCCCATCACCAGAGCCCCAGGCCCGGGAGGGCTTCCTGCCCCTCTCTCGGCATAGCACTCTCGGCATGGGTCAGGTTCCTGCCCGAGGTCCACCCCCGCCCCCCGCCCCCTGGCCTGTCCACAGCATCCACGAAGCTCCTCGTGTCCCTGTGATGCGGTGGACTTGATGCTCTGCTCGCCGAACACAGTGTGTGTGCGTGCGGCTGTGTCTGTGTGTGCATGTGTGCGTGTGTTTGCAGCTGTGTCTCTGTGCTCGTATGAGCACTGTGTGTGTGTCTGAGCGCGGCTGTGTCTGCATCTGTGTGACTTTGCATAAGCAAAGTGCATGCGTCTGTTCCCACTGTGTGCGCGACTGTGTGCATGGGTGAGTGCGCGGGTCTGTGTGTGCGTGTGTGCGAGCAAGTGCGCGTGTCTGTGTGTGCACATATGAGCGAGTATGTGAGTCTGTGTGTGCATGTATGAACAAGTGTGCATGTCTCTGCGTGTGAGCGAGCATGCGTGTCTGTTTATGCATGTGTGAGTGAGTGTGCGTGAGACTGCATGTGTGGGGTGTATGTCTGTGTGTGCGTGTGTGTGTATGCATGTGTGAGTGTGCATGAGACTGCATGTCTGTCTGTATGTCTTTGTGTGCATGTGCGTCTGTGTATGCATGTGAGTGTGTCTGTGTCTGTGTGTGCATCTGTGTGTGAGCGAGTGTGAATGTGTCTGTGTGTGTCCGAGTGTGCGTGTCTGTGTGCATGTAGGAGCAAATGTGCACGTCTGTGTGTGCATGTATGAACGAGTGTGCATGTCTCCGCGTGTGGTGAGCGAGTGTGCATGTGTGTATGCATGTGTGAGTGAGTGTGTGTGAGACTGCATGTCTGTGTGTGCATCTGTGTGTGTGAGCGAGTGTGCGTGTCTGTGTGTCCGAGTGTGCATGTCTGTGCGCATGCAGGAGCAACTGTGCATGTCTCTGTGTGTGAGGGAGTGTGCGTGTGTTTATGCATGTGTGAGCGAGTGTGTGTGAGACTGCATGTGTGTGTGAGCGTATCTGTGTGTGCATGTGTGAGCAAGTGTGCATGAGACTGCATGTCTGTATGTCTTTGGGTGCATGTGTGAGTGTGTCTGTGTGTGTGTCTGTGTGAGCAAGTGTGCGTGTGTCTGTGTGTGTCCGAGTGTGTGTGTCTGTGTGTACATGTAGGAGCAAATGTGCACATCTGTGTGTGCATGTATGAACGAGTGTGCATGTCTCTTTGTGTGAGCGAGTGTGCGTGTCTGCTTATGCATGTGTGAGCGAGTGTGCGTGAGACTGCATGTGTGGGTGTGCGTGTCTGTGTGTGCATGTGAGCGTGCATCTGTGTGCATGCCTCTGTGTGCATGTGTGAGTATCTGCGTGCATGTGTAAGCGAGTGTGTGTCCGGTTATGCATGTTTGAGCGAGTGTGTATGAGACTGCATGTCTGTGTGTACATCTGTGTGCGCGTCTGTGTGTGAGCAAGCGTGCGTGCATGCGTGCGTGTGTGCATACAGGCCCATGTGTGCCACACGTGTGCTCCCGGGGCTCGCTCTCTCATGGTCATGGAGCTCCCATGCGTTCCGGCCTGGCCCTCAGCACGCCTTGTGTGCAGAGGGTCCCAGGACACACGTGGGCAGCCCGGGAGACGGAGACCACGGCCCGGCCTGCAGGGTTAGGCGCCCTGTCCCCGGGCCGCACCCCAGCGCCCTCTGCTTGGCTTTAAATTCGAAAAACCATCAGCACTTTCACCCCGGCTGGACATAATTCTGCCAAGGAACAGCAATTAGCTTCACTGCGGGCGCATCTTCCCGGGATGCATCTTCCGGGGAAAAAACAAAGCCGAGACCTAGAGCCGCCTGCAGCCAACCAGCCCCCTCAGCCCCCCGAAGAGCCTGTTCCACTATTTCCGTTCATCCTGCATTTTTGTTTCTGTTTGGGGGGCCACACCCAGCGATGCTCAGGGCTGCCTCCTGGCTCTGCACTCAGGGATCACTCTTGGCGGGGCCCTAGGGACCCTCTGGGATGCCAGGGATCGAACCCAGGTCAGCCGCGCCAAAGGCCAGCGCCCTCCCCGCTGGACTATCGCTCCAGCCCCACATTTTCTTCTTCTGGCCGGCAAACATAAGGGAGGGTGTGTGACACTTTCCTGGCCCTTCCTGGTATAACCCGACACCCAGCCGACAGCAGTGCGGCAGGCCATCAGGGAGACAGAAACGGGGTCCCACAAGGAGAGATCGCCCAGCAAAGGGGTCACTATGATTCAGATCTGCTGCAGGAGTGACCAGAGGACTGTCTGGCCTCGTTGAAAGCTCCCCGAGGTGGGGCCGGAGCCCTAGCACAGCGGGGAGGGCATTGGCCTGGCATGTGGCCGACCTGGGTTCGATCCCCGGCACCCCCTAGGGTCCCCCCGAGCACCAGGCAAATGCCCTAGCTGTTGAGTTATCACTTTGGCCCCTAATTGTTTATTTTTTTTTCAATATCTCCACATTTCCTCCCCCACCCCATAATAAATCATTTTACACTTCAAGATGATTTGATATAATGGCATTTTGAGGAAAACAATAACGATTGTTGGGGGGAAAAAATCCAATAATTAAAAAAATCAAGTTGTTTGAAACATAAACCTAGCAACGCTCTCTGTGGGGGAGGAACTCCTGTACAGTGCTGACTCAGACGCTGGTTTTTCTTTTTTCTATTTAGAACCACACCCGGGGATGCTCGGGGCTTTCCTTCTGCTCTGTGCTTAGGGATCACTCCTGGCAAGACCTGGGGGACCATATGGGGGGGTCGGAGATTGAACTGGAATCGGCTGCTTGCAAGGCAAGTGCCTTAACTCCGTACCAACTCTCCGGGCCCCAGACACCAATTTTTGTTTTTTTTTTTTTTTTTTTTTGGTTCCCCAAGTACCACCAAGAGTAATTCCTGAGTGCATGAGCCAGGAGTAACCCTTGTGCATTGCTGGGTGTGTGACCCAAGAAGAAAAAAAAGGCAACATGAAGTACAGTTGTAGACTTACAAATTTTTGTGCTTGGGTCTCAATTATACAAAGAATCACATTTTTTGGTCACTTCTCCCACACGGCAAAGCCTGGCAAGTTACCCGTGATGTATTCAATATGCCAAACACAGTAACAAGTCTTACAATGGAGACGTTACTGGTGCCCGCTCGAGCAAATCGATCGGGAGGACAGTGCTACAGTGCCGTGCTATTTTGTGGCAGGGAGTGTTTTGGGCCACACCCCGCGGTGATCAGGGAATCACTCCTGGCTCTGTGCTCAGGGATCACTCCTGGTGACCCCTTGGGGGACCATCACGGTTGTCCAGGGATAGAACCTAGGTTGGCTGCATGCAAGGTCATGTGCTAGTCCTTTGACCCCATTCCAACCATTAGTAACCCATTCACATTGCCACCTGTCAGCCTCTGGGTCTGCCCCGACCCCATCACCAACATCAAAGACTAAGCGGAGTCATGATTACCTGATGATTTCTTCATGATACAGAGAACTGATGACAGGCCCGCCAAAACCTGTTCTTGCCTCTTTTCTTTTCTTCTCTGGCGACTGTGGAACAAAGGGAAAGAGAAACCCAGGTTAACGCGGGTCTACCCCGCCAGGGGCGAAACACGACTTTGCTAGTGTTTTATTACTGAGGTAAAGGTAAAAAAGGTAAAGGCCCTCCCGTTGATCGTCGATTTGCTCGAGCGGGCCCAGTAACGTCTCCATTGGAGACTTTGTTGTTACTGTGTCTGGCATATCGAATACTCTCGGTAGCTTGCCGGGCTCTCCGGATGGCCGAGCGGTCTAAGGCGCTGCGTTCAGGTCGCAGTCTCCCCTGGAGGCGTGGGTTCGAATCCCACTCCTGACACAGTTCCTATTACTGAGGTATTAAAAGAATTACTGAAGTACTCCTGTATTACTGAAGACTGTCCTTCTGGCTCCTCTCCCTAGCCAAGACACAGTGAGAGAAAACAAAAGGGAAAATTCCCAGAGGCCGACAGTGCTGAAAAGCAGGTTCTCTGGACGCAGCAAGGCTGACCAGCGTCTTAGCAACCCGAGTTCAGGGAGACTCGGAAAGGATCGCAGGCGGCCATCGCCATCGAGTGATGTCAAGTCAGTGATGCAAGGATGGTTCAACTGCAACACCATCAGTCGCGCCACCACACTCGCCAGGTGAGAGGGTGACAGTCACGTGGCTGTCTCAACCAATGCAGAAAAGGCAACGGAGGAAATTCAACATCCATTCACGAGAAAAACTGCCAACACCACAGAGAAGGAGAAAAAAAAAAACCTCAACACAGTGACGACTGCGTACAGCCCACAGGTGACATCAGATTCGGCGGCAGAAAGCCGAAAGATTTTCCTCTCTGGCCAGAACAAGACCAGGAGACGCTCCCCTCTCTCCCCAACACAGTACCGGATGTCTTAGCTAGGGGGATGCGGCGTCTCCCTTTGGGACAGTCCCTCGTGGCCCCCACAAACTCTTCTGAATCATGAGGATTGGTGTGGGGATGTGACTTCAACCATGAGCAGTTCTGTGACAGTTTCTTGTTTGAGTTTGCCAGTCCTTAATCCAATGATGCTAAACATCTCCTTATCTACTGCAGACCTTCTGCCCCGGCCCCCAGCCACGACCCAAGCCTGCCCCAATAGCCGGCCCTAAATAATTCATTTCAAATTACTTGTTATGAATCACGATCGTCCTGTTGTTCATCGATTTCCTCGAGCAGGCCCCAGTAACGTCTCCTTCTTCCTAGCCCTGAGATTTTAAAAGAGCCATTTCTATGCTCTTTCAGGATTAGGAGAATGAGACCCATCATTGTTACTGGTATTTGGCATATTGAGTAGGACATGGAAAGTTTGCCAGACTCTGCCGTGAGGGCAGGATACTTTTGGTAGCCTGCCAGGTTCTCCAAAGGAAAGATAATAAGATGTCGCCTCCGGGAGCTGGGTTTTATAGTCTCTGCATCTTGGCCGTTGATGGGACCAACCTGGCGCCGGCGGCAGCTGGTGGGTGTGATGCCTACCTACTGGAAGATGGGGGGTCTGGGTGAGAAGGCCCAGTCCCAATCCGAGTAGGCTTGTTATGAATAATCATCTAAAAAATGACCGAAAAGGGTTTCCTTAGAACAAAAGTGTGTGAAGATTGTTGCATCTCAGCCCAGAGTCACTAAGCCCTTTATAAGAGATAACTAACATGCTGTTACAGGTTGAGTCTTGTGTGCTAATATTTTTCCTTTGACACTGACTGTCTTCTGCCTTCCATCCTGTCCAAAATATACTATCCCTGGCACATAAATGGTCTAAAGTAAGAGATTCTGCGTGGCTGCAAATTTATCTGCCCATTATTATTTATTTATTTATTTATTTATTTATTTTGCTTTTTGGGTCACACCCAGTGATGCTCAGGGGTTCCTCCTTGCTCTGCTCTCAGGAATCACTCCTGGTGGTGCTCGGGAGACCCTATGGGATGCCGGGGACCGAACCCGGGTCGGCTGTGTGCAAGGCAAACGCACTCCCCGCTGTGCTATCACTCCAGCCCCCTGCGTCTGCCCATTTTAAACCGGATTGTTTTCTTTTGCTAGAACTGCAAAAGGCAACAAACGTCCATCACTGTGAAGTTACAAAGATGTTCTACTTTTTTTTTTTGGGGGGGGGGTGGAGGGGTGTTGGCCCACTTCGGACCACATGCAGTGCCGGGAATAGAACTGCATGGGCTGGGTACCAGGTAGGCATCGGACGGTCTGTCTCTCTGGTCCTGCCTTGTTTTATCCCGTCTCAGGGGCTTCTTCCTGCTGGCGTCCATCGTGACCTCCGCAGGACACGGGATTCCCGTTGTTCCCCTCCTGGCCAACACTTGAGGCATCTCGTCTTTCTGATAACCGCCACTCGGCCAGATGTGCAGTGTCCTGCCCCTAGAGTTTTTCACCCGAAGGTCCCTCATCTCTCACCCCACACCATCCGCACGCCTCACAGAAACAGCTGTGCAGATTCTCTGCTCATTTTTCCACGGGGGGCGGGGGGGGGGGGGCTTGCTCGTTCCCCCCGACTCCAATTGGGCTGTTCTGTTCTGCTTCTCCTCCTGAGCTGGATGCATTTACCTACGTCTGAGTACTGACCCTCAGGAACCCTGTGGGGATCTGCAATTATTCCGTCCCAGTCCCTGGGGTGGCTTGGTGGCCTGCCAACTGTTTTCTCTGCCAGTCTAAAAAGCAAGACTGAATACATTGAGATTGGGGGGGGGGGGGATTAAGAGAGAGAGAGGAGGGAGAGAGGAGAGAGAGAGAGAGAGAGAGAGAGAGAGAGAGAGTTAAAATTTGGCTGTGGAGGGGCTGAGCGATAGCACAGCGGGGAGGGCGTTGGCCTTGCACGCAGCCAACATGGCCGACCCAGGTTCGATTCCCAGCATCCCATATGGTCCCCCGAGCACCGCCAGGAGTAATTCCTGAGTGCATGAGCCAGGAGTAACCCCTGAGCATCGCCGGGTGTGACCCCAAAAGCAAAAAAAAATAAAATAAAATTTGGCTGTGGATTGAACTGACTCTGCTGGGTTTCACGGGCAAGAAGCCACCTCGACTATAAACCCGGCCAATCAGTGGGTTCGAGGCCCAGCTCTGCAACATCCTTTATAGGGCCGGGTCCTGCCCATCCTCCCTCCCCTCCGTGCCCCCTTGCAAACTGCTTCCGGGTACAAGGTCAGGACGAGGGGAGGGGTGAGGCCACATGCTACTTCCCTCCTCTCCACACTAAATATCAGGTTTTCCACAGCAGGACCTGAAAAATCCTTTCCACTTACTGGGTCTTGGCGTTCTCTTGCGACCGTTGAAAAAGGTGAAGCTTGTTCCTCTTGCTCTAACACGGAAAACACACACACACACACACACACACACACACACACACACAGACGCACACAATAAAGCACGACCACTTGTCGAACTTGGCTGCCCACTTTTCTATGTACTTTTCACTTAAGAGCAAAGCAATGTCGAACGAGCTTGGGACCAAGAGCACGGTCAGCCAGTAGTGTTCCCTACTCGCATTTCTTTCCCAGGATTAATCCCTCTGTTTTTTGTTTTTTTTGTTTGCTTTTTGGGTCACACCCAGCGATGCACAAGGGTTACTCCTGGCTCTGCACTCAGGAATCACTCCTGGCGGTGCTCAGGGGACCCTAGGGGATGCTGGGGATCGAACCCGGGCCAGCCACGTACAAGGCAAACGCCCTACCCGCTGTGCTATCGCTCCAGCCCCAGGATTAATCCCTCTGAAGCAACTGCAGTGTTAAGAGCAACGGCGGGGGAATCCGGAGACGCTCTTCCCACACAGGGGCCCCACAGACCCCCGATTCTACCCCCAGCCTGCAGAGGGGTCCCCCAAACACCACCCAGGGGTGAGCGCTGAGCCAGTATGGGGTGTAACAGAAACAACAATGAACAGTGTTGGAACTATTTTTTTGGGGGGGGAATGATGGGAGAGTCTATCTGAGGCAGAAATGCCCTTTTTCGATCAGAGCTCTGCCATTAGCAGATTGGATTGAAAACACAGTGACCCAGGACTCATTTGTGTGTGCGTGTTCCCCCCCTCCAACCATTTCATCTAGAAGAGAGTTCAACTTTTGGTGACTTTACTCTCTGGAATTACACTCTGATGCAGTGTTCCTTGCAGAGGCTTAAGAAGTGTTTTCCAATTCTCTTGACCTAAACTCCATCACGTTATCACTATCACCCCACTGTTCATCGATTTGCTCGGGCGGGCACCAGTAACGTCTCCATTCATCCCGGTCACGTGCTAGTGTAGCCCAATGGCATATTGGGGGCTCTTTCAGGGTCAGGGGAATGAGGACTATCATTGTTACTGTGTTTGGCATACCGAGTACACCACGGGTAGCTTGCCAGGCTCTGCCGTGTGGGCGGGATATCCGAGAGGGATGGAGGCTTTTGGGGCAGCCTCTAACCATCTTTACATGTGTTCCCTGTCAGGTATTTATGCGGGCAGGAGACTCTTGGTAGCCTGCTGGGTTCTCTGAGAGTGCGAACTTGACAATAAGAGGTCTATCATCATGCTATATTATTATTATTATTGTTTTTGTTTTTTATTATTGTTATTATTATTATTGTTAATATTATTATTTTGGCCTTTTGGGTCCCACCCGGCGATGCTCAGGGCTGACTCCTGGCTCATACACTCAGGGATCACTCCTGGTGGTGCTCTGGGGGACCCTATGGGATGCCGGGGATAGAACCCAGGTCGGCCGTGTGCCAGGCAAACGCCCTCCCCGCTGGGCTATGGCTCCAGTCCCTCCACCGCCTTATTTTTATGTTGCATCAGCACAGAGAGAGAGAGAGAGAGAGAGAGAGAGAGACTCCAACCTGGCAGCCAGGAGGGTCAAATCTGCCAATTCTTCCCTTGCTTCAGACTCCATTATTGGACACAGTGAACGCTCCTTCACTCGGTAGGGAGGGGGATAAGTTGCCGGCGGAATCTTTATCACTTGATTCCGATTCCACCTCGGCTACTGGCTGGGTCAAGATCCGAAACCCCGGGAGACTGTTGCTTCCATCTGAAAT